GTGTGTAGACTCTGTAGAACAAATCCCAAATAAGAAATCATTGGTGAATGTCAGAATCTGCGTAAGTGGGTTTTACGAAGAAATTTCTTCTTACAAATGGTTGGTGGATGAAGGCCAGTGTTCTCAGTACACTGATTGCGGTATTGCTATTCTGAATTGAAATAAACTGCAGGAGAAGGAGCAGTACAGTGCAAATCTACTGAGAGGATGTGCTAGAGGTGAATGGAAGGGAATACGGGTGAGATTAAATTACCTGAGACAGCCAGGAGACCTCATGACCCTGCTGCACTCATCTCACCTTTTCCCATCACCCCCACTGACCACACTTACAGAAAATACCCAACATCAACCACAATCTCATACACTAGATTAAAACATGGACATGTGAAGCTTGAAACAGATATTAACGTATATACAGTAACGTAGTACAGAGTCCTGGTACAGAGCTCCCGCTGCTGTTTTACATTCCTAACAACTAACCCAAACCTGCTGAACTGTGACTTGTATTCACAGTCAGCGACCGTGGCATGTGCCTGTCCCCTGGGCCCCGATGGCAGCCGCATGAGTCGGCAAGAAGGCGGGGCCCAAACTCCGAGTGACGATGCAGCCCTGCGGGGATGGCGGAGAGAGGAGAACTGCAAGTAAGTGGGGGATGGCGTGCAACGCCTGCCTCCTGGGCGCCGCCTCTGGTCCTGCAGTGAGGCCACTTTAATTTGCTGTACATTCGACCTGGGTGGCTGAGCTGCGGGACAGTGATGGGGAGGCGGAGCAACAAGCCCTTGGCTGCCCTTAATGAGAGCCAGCTGTTGCTGCTCTGGCAAAAGGCTGCTGCGACCATCAATCCTGCCTCCATCATCCTTCTTGAGCCCGGAGTAGCACATGATGTGCTACAGTGACGTATCTAGAACTTCCAGAACGACTAACGAGACATTGGACCCACCCTTTGTAAATCAAAACATTGATTGCTTGATTCCTTTGTCACTTCCTATTTTAATATAACGATTAAGGCCTTTTGTCCAGCTCCTTAAGTCCTAACCAACGGGAGAGCTCACCTGTATCCTAATATACCACAGAGAAAGCAATCCTGGGGCCGTATGACAGACTTTTCCTATCTCTTGTCCTGAGTTAAGATCTGAGAAGGTCGAAATACGATTTCATCTTACAGAAGCAAATCTTAATTTAGGAATTTTATCCTAAATTTTACAGAATGTTATCATATCTGAAGGTACATGCAAACATGTAATCAAAATAACATTAAAAGTATAAGTTCATTAGCAGAGGCATAGTCAAGGGATGGCCAGCACCACCCCAACGAGGCTTTACCACCCCTCGGGCCACCCCACCCCAGCTATAATCAGTAAAGCGGTCACTACAGAAAAGCTGCCCTAGCTGCACTGTGCAAAAGGTTAGATTCACAATAACAATCTATCATCGGGGCAATTACCAATCAACTATAAGACTCTGACCATGCTGCATCCAAGAATCAATACAGCTCTCTGAGTTAAACTACTCTGCTAAGCAGACAGGAGAGAACGCTGCTTAAAACCTTTATGCAGGTTCATTTTGTTTAATTAGGCAGCAAATGTTGGTTTAATTTATTGACAAAACACATCGATATAGTGCAGTACTTCTGTTGTCGTGGGCAGACCAAGTATTAAAAATTAAACACGATTTTATGACAGCAGTGTTTATACCTTGGTAACTGGTAATATTCCTGGCACATGAGACATCAATCTTGTTGAAGAATTTATGGTAAACCTGACATGCCATAACACACATACTGCCACACTTCATATAGGATCAGTGTGTCTGAGGTCACAGCAAACCTGCTGTGAAAGTGGCCACCAGTCCAAAGACAACCAAACAAACCTCAGTGCAAAATGTGCCTTGATTGGACCACAAAATGCCTGCACAGCGCATCTGAAATCAACATGTGATGTACTAAGACTGCAGTTGACGGTTAGATGCGAATGCGTCTGATCTGCCCCTGAAACTGGAGCACAAGGCTCAGCAGATCAGGCCCTCGCTGTCTTGCCTGTGCTTGCGTGGGCGTGAAAGGTTTCAGTGGTTTTGCAGCAGTGAAAGGAAGAACTGTTGCAGTAACTTTAAAGAAAGAGTTGGTCAGTGAGCCACAGCAGATGAGCTAAAGGCTATTTCTGTCCACTGCCTCGCAGATCCATTACAGAACAGAACTGCTTTCACTCTGACATTTGTGCTGATCTGAAGAATGTAAATGTAGACTCAATATAACAAGACCGAATTAATGTCTTATAAATGTGAGTCAAATATCCACTAACTGGCCACTTTATTAGAAACACCTACCTTGAGCTTCCACTAATTGGCCACTTTATTAGAAACACCTACCTTGAACATCCACTAACTGGCCACCTTATGACTGCCATCTACCTTATAGGTCACTATATACATGCAGAGTTACAGTCTGTCTAACTGTACAACTTTATGGTGGAGCTACAAAGAAGAGATTTCTGATACAGTAGACAGTGAGAAAGTTGTGTAAATATACTTTGTTCTTTTCCTCTTAAACTCTTACAACTGCAATACTGCAATGTTCATTGTACAGTCCCAACATTTCACTCTGTTATAGTTTAAAAGACTCTACGTTCAACGTATTATTCTTTAATATTACCAAAAAACAAGCTTTGATAGTAAGAATCTACCACTTCTTGTCCAGCCAGTAAAGCGGCATGAATTGAATAGAATTATATTCCTTTCTAAAAAAAAACATCTGCATGACGAGAGCAACGTCTCAGCAACAGTGCACTTTAAGACTGCATGTGATTAGAAGCTCCAGTTATCCTGAGCTGTTTGGCCTCTTGAGTGAACTGTAGCAGAACAGGGCAGCATCATGTAGCACACGGTAATGAAAATACACCAAGTCACAATCACAGTCACCCCACAATCTGGGGGAGGGGCCATGTCCTTAATCCTGTCCTCAGAATAGAGAGAGAGAGAGAGAGAGAGAGAGAGAGAGAGAGAAAGAGAGAGAGAGAGAGAGAGAGAGAGAGAGAGAGAGAGAGAGAGAGAGAAACAGCCCTTGCCTCAGGCACAGTGGGAGGTTGCAATCTCTAAAAAAGAGACTCAAACACAGAAATGAAAGCAAGAAAAAGAAGAGATCAAACAGACTCAGATCAGATCAAACAGACTCAACCAAACAGACTCAGATTAGACCAGACACATTCAAATCAGACCAATCTGACTCAGATCAGACCAAACAGGCTCAGATCAGACCAAACAGACTCAGATTAGACCAGGCTAAAATCAGACCAACCAGACTCAGATCAGACCAAACAGGCTCAGATCAGACCAAACAGACTCAGACCAAACAGACTCAGATTAGACCAGACTAAAATCAGACCAAACAGACTCAGATCAGACCAAACAGGCTCAGATCAGACCAAACAGGCTCAGATCAGGCCAGACTAACATCAGACCAAACAGACTCAGGCCATATCAAACAGACTCGGACAAGACCAGACTTATATTACACTTAGACCAAACAGACTCAGATGAAACAAAAAAGACTCAGACCAGACCAAACCAACTCACATCAGACTAAAATCAGACACACATCAGATTAAGCTGACTCAGATCAGACCAAACTCAGACCGGACCAAGATTCAGAAAAAATCAAACCAAACATACTTGGATCTGACCAAAGAGACTCAGATTACACTTAGACCAAAAAAGACTAAGATCAGGCCAGGCTAAGATCAAACTCAAACCAGACCAAACAGATTCATACCAGATTAACCTGACCCAAATCAGATCAAACAGACTCAGATCACACCAAACAGACTCAGACCAGACCAGATTAAAACCAGACCAAACTGACTGATATCATATTAAGCTGACTCAGGTCAGACCAAACTCAGACCAGACCAAAACCACTCAAAGTCAAACCAAACACACTCTGATCTGACCAAAGAGATTCAGACCAGACCAGACCTAGATCAGATCACACTAAAACCAGACCAAACAGACTCATGTCAGATCAATCTGACTTAGATCAGACCAAACACACTCAGATCTGACCAAAGAGATTAAGATTACACTTAGACTAAACAGACTCAGATCAGATCAAAGTCAGATCAGACCAAACAGACTCAGACCAGACCAAAATGACCTAGATCAGACTAGACTCAGATCAGAACAGTCAAATCTGACCAAAAAGAGTCAGATCACACCAAACAGACTCAGTTCAGACTCAAATCAGAGCAAAGAGTTTCTGATTAGACCAGAAAGACTTAGACAGACCCAGATCAGACTCATATCATTTCAAACAGGCAGACAGGATCAGATCACACTCACAACAAAGCAAACAGACTTTAGGTCAGAAGGCAAGTATAAGCTCAGGTGAAATCAGGTTCCCATAGTTACCAAACCTACTCCAGCTCCGAGTGCTTATTCACCTAAAGTACCAGTCAAAATGGACACATCTACACATGGAAGGTCTGCTTGATTTTCTGTATTTTAACTATTTTTCGCATTTTAGAATAAAACCTAAGACATCAAAGCAATGGAAAAATGTATGTAATTATGTAGTGAATAAATGAATGAATGAATACCTTTTGGTGACACTATCCCCCACCCCCTTCACCCCCCCGTTATATGGGAGTGATTAGAACGGCAGCGTTTCTTTAAAAGCTCAATAACACTGCTAAAAAGCTAACGGTGTGAAAAGCCACAGCCGTTCCAGAGTGCGCTTCCTCCAGACGTCTCTACCCTGAGATAAAGAGAGAGGCTTATAAAGATTTCTCTGGCCCCTGGAGGCGGCTAAACTCAGTAAATGGTAAAGTGCATTTAAAGGAAAAACATTTAGAAGAAGAAGAAAAAGATCACATTCAGACTGCAGCGGGCAGATTGGGTGATAACCTGCAGCCCGCCGCAAAGTGATTCCCCTTAGTGTGAGTGGTCCTGCATATAAAATCTCCCCAGGGTGATATTTTAGCAGCGCTAGTGGATGAATGGGCTTAACTCACCGTCCCGCCAACAATCCGGCCCAGAGGATACCACGCCCGCTCATCAAACCAGTTCAGGAACTCGTAGAAGCCATTTGTGGTCAGATGGTGTGTTGATCTGTAGTTAAACCTAAAGAGAGAGAGAGTCAGGTATTAACGTTTTCATATATAATATACACTGTTTCAAAACACCAGCTGCCCCTTACTTTGAGTGAACATTTCATGACAGATGGACCAACAGAAAAGGTCCAAGATTTCTGAGAATATCATCTTGTTACATTAACATAGGTCAAAGTTATGACCGTTTTTTTCCTTCTCTTGTATAGTTTTCAGGAAATATCTCTGAGGTGATTATTAGATATGATAGTCCAGTTGTATAAGGAAGGAGAAAGTCACAGGAAAATAAAATACGAGTTTCCAAAATCTGTTCAAAAACTGATAAAAGCTACAGAGAAAATGTTCCTCCTAACAACCACCTGGAAGAGCTGGTCGACCCCAAAACTGCCCCCATCAGATAAACAGCACTTAAAGCTTTCATCTCTGAGAGAGAGGAGAAAATCAAGCTGCTTCAGATCTGAAAACATCCACAGGTGTTTCTGTCCATCCTTCCACTGTGAGAAGACGACTCAGCGCTGTGGGTCTGAAAGGATGTGTAGCTGATCAAGAAGAACCTCACTGAGAAAAGGAGACGGACACATCAAACAAAGAAGCTGAACGATGGACTGACCACCCCAGAGTCCAGACCTCAACACCACTGAATGTGTTTGATTACTTCAGAAAATGATCAACCAGCTTCTGAGACTGAACTTTGGAGGTGTGTCTGCAGATTCTTTGAGGAACTGAAAGTGAGTCTCCTGGAAGCTGGAGTGAAGGTGAAGAGTGACTCTCTGAACACTCACACAGCTGAGAGTAGAGTTTTTCTGTAAAATTATTTGTTAAATGTGTCTTTTGCTTTTTTCCCCCAACCAACAAATTAGTGACCTACTACTTAATAGCCTTCTGACTGAAAATGAAATTGCTCTGTCTTTGGAGAGTCCTGCGTAAAAATACAAATGGATCAATACAAATGGTCCAAAATTGCTCAATAGAATAAAGCCTTGTTTCACCTCTGAGACATTAGGCTCTGTTATGACAGCCATGATTTATATATCAGGAGTTAAAATACAAACACGACTGTTGCTCCATACAGAGACTGTATCCTTCCACACACTTTATTTGGCAGTAAAGCCCATCGAGATAAAACTGAGAAACAGAAGGGTGAAGAGAGAGAGCGAGCGAGAGAGCGAGAGAGAGAGAGGGATACAGAAAGAGAGTCAACAAAAGGCTGACTGAGTTGAAGCCACTCTGCTCCATCTGTCTGTCACAAGCAAAGTCATAATTTTCCAACTGCTGAATATGCAAATGAAACGACCTTCTCCTTCAGTGTAATTATTACCACACTTAACATAATCGTTTTAATCGTTTGGAGCTTTTCTTTTTTACAAGCACGTCACTCTGAAGTTACCGCTTCAGGGAGAAAGAGCTGTTTAAATTTAAGGGCTCTATGTTTAAAGTCCTTAAAACAAGTGGGGTAGCAGTCAGAGATACTAAATCACTATTGACACGCAACGGTCATCAGGGGAAACTCGCTACAACTGACCTACACCTCTATACCTGACCCGAATCTGTCCCCTATAACTGACCCACCACTGACCTCTATACCTGACCTACATCTGTCCTCTACAACTGACCCATACTTGACCTCTATACCTCATCTACATCCATTCTCTGTGCGTGACCCATACCTGACCTTTTTAAATAACCTGCAGCTATTCTCTATAACTGACCTACACCTGTCCTCTATACCTGACCTGAATTTGTCCCCTATAACTGACCCACCACTGGCCTCTATACCTGACCTACACCTGACCAACATCTGTCCTCTATACCTGACCTTCATCTGCCCTCTGTAACTGACCCACACTTTTCCTCTATACCTGACCTACACCTGTCATCTATACCTGACCTACATCTATTGTCTATACTGACCTGCGCCTGTCCTCCATATCTGACCCACACCTGCCCTCTATACTTGACCTGCACCTGACCTGAATCTGTCCTATATACCTGACCTGAATCTATCATTTATAACCTGACCTTCATCTGCCTTCTGTAACTGACCCACATTTGCCCTCTATACCTGACCCACACCTGCCCACTGTACTTGACCTACACCTGTCCTCTATACCTGACCTGCCTCTGTTGTCTATACTGACCTGCCTGTCCTCCATATCGGACCCACACCTGTCCTCTATACCTGACCTGCCTCTGTTGTCTATACTGACCTGCCTGTCCTCCATATCGGACCCACACCTGTCCTCTATACCTGACCTGCCTCTGTTGTCTATACTGACCTGCCTCTGTTGTCTATACTGACCTGCCTGTCCTCCATATCGGACCCAGACCTGTCCTCTATACCTGACCTGCCTCTGTTGTCTATACTGACCTGCCTGTCCTCCATATCGGACCCACACCTGTCCTCTATACCTGACGTGCCTCTGTTGTCTATACTGACCTGCCTGTCCTCCATATCGGACCCACACCTATCCTCTATACTTGACCTACACCTGTCCTTTGTACAAGACCCACATCTGTCCTGACATCTGTCCTACGTAAATAACCTGCATCCGTCCTCTATAATTAACCTGCACCTGTCCTCAATAACTGAGCAACAACTGTCCTTTATAAATAACCTCTACCTGTCTTCCATAACTGACCCTCACAATAGTCAAAGTCTACAACGTGTAGCACAATGAGATTAAACTTTCTGTCAGACAGAACGCAGGAATAATAAGTCTCTTGCCTTGTGTCCGCTGGGAAATTAGCACTGGACAGAACATCTGCAGTGTTTCTGAACAGATTTAAAAGCCCAGTGAACCAGAACACAATCAGCATCTCAGACACTAACACTTCTGCTTCTCCTGTTAAAGTCCACAGCTGTCTGTTTAAACTGCATTTCATCCAAACAAACATGCTTTTTTACATCTGAATAAGCAGAAGTCATGAAGAACTTCCAGTCCAGCTGCTTTTCAACAAGTTCTGTCGCGTTTTAAGGGTCTGTGGAGGAGAGATACAAGACCATCTGTTTTCAGTGAGAGTCCATTAAACAGCACTTCATCTGATCAAACACGCTGTTAAAAAACTAAACGCACAAAGCCAAAAACAGGCCGCATTTTTACAAGAGCAGAGCCATCTGTATTCTCTTCACAGTCCAGCACACGAGGAGAGAAAGAAACCGAGCTGTCCAGACTGACCAGCTGCAGCAACAGTCCAGCAATACAACTCCAAACCAGCCTGGAGATGATCTGACAGCAGAAACACAGCACAGTCACTTTCCTTCAGTCAGAAACAGAGTCTGACTGATCTGTCACTCTTTTAGAACTATCACCACATTCATTTCCGTTTTTTAGAATTTACATCATTGGCAACAATGTCTTCAGATTTTATGGAATTCTGATTAGTTCAGAATGTCTATTCGCTTTGAATTCTGATTCTAAATTATTTTCTTTTGTCAAATTCTGAATATTTTTATTTCTGTTGAAAATTCTGCACAGAATTCTGATTCGAAATTACATTTTTATCAAATTCTGTATCGTTAAATTTCTTTAAAAAATTATATTCTGTATAGAATTCTCATTCTATCAAATTCCTTTATCAAATTCTGAGTCTTTTAATTTTTTAAAAAAAAAAAATCTATTCTGTGGAGAATTCTGATTCTAAATTATTTTCTTTTGTCAAATTCTGAATATTTTTATTTCTGTTGAAAATTCTGCACAGAATTCTGATTCGAAATTACATTTTTATCAAATTCTGTATCGTTAAATTTCTTTAAAAAATTATATTCTGTATAGAATTCTCATTCTATCAAATTCCTTTATCAAATTCTGAGTCTTTTAATTTTTCAAAAAAAAAAAATCTATTCTGTGGAGAATTCTGATTCTAAATTTCTTTTCTTTTATCAAATTCTGAATTTTTAAATTTATTTAAAAAATTTTATTCTGTATAGAATTCTGATTTTAAATTATTTTCTTTTGTCAAATTCTGAATCTTTTAATTTCTTTTGAAAATTCTATTCTGTGTAAAATTCTGATTCTAAATTACTTTCATTTATTAAACGCTGACTCTTTTCATTTCTGTTTAAAATTCTGTTCTGCATAGAATTGAGATTCTACATTTTTTTTCTGATGAAAATTCTGACTTTCTATAAGATCCTATCCTATTTAGAATTTCGAATCCAAAGAACCAGCAAGTTAAAAAAAAAAAACAGAAAACATTCTATTTTTATTTGTGTTTGTTTATTCATGTGCAAAAAGCAAGAGGTCAAAAACCGGAAGGATACAAGGAGAATCCATTATCATAAACAGACACAGAGAGAAGAGGCAGAACCTTTTTTACAGGGGAAAACAGACACTAACAAAGCCAGGCTTTACAGGAACTTCCTCTCTTTTCGTCTCAAGATCTGACAGGTCAAGATTCTTGTATTACAGAAGCAAATCTGATCATAATTTAGGAATTTTGTCTTATCTGACAGCATCTTATCTCCAGTTAGGGAATCTTAATCTACTCGATCAAAGTCGACAATCAACTGTCATGTCTGTTTCCTAGCAACCAACCAAAGCAGCGTTTTACAGTAGAAATATTGGAGCTCATTATGCTGGTAGTGAACTATGCTGCTGACTCAGCTGCGTAAAAACCATAGAAACGGACCTTAAACAGAAGTGAGGACCCTGTTGGGGTTCATCCTAAAGTTAGGACAGGATTTAGGAGGTTCAGTCTAGTTAGGATGTTTGTGTGATGCTGTTTTCTTATCTGGAGTTCATGATGAGATTATGAAGGTAGGAACTGTTATTCTGGAATAGCTACTGTCCGAAATTCAGTCTGTACTGAAGTCGTCATGGAGACCAAGAAGTTTCTGTAATACGGACCCTGGACTACAAAACAGGCACGTGGCCACTTTATCAGAAACCCCTCTCCCGTAGCTCATCTGCTGATGCACAGTTTGTGTTAGTCAGCCTCTGTTCCTTCATCAGTGGTCAGTTTCTGAGTTGCTCTTGTCTGGAATTTGTAATAAAGTAGACTTCCAGTGGAACA